TTTCTGATATTTGAAACCATCCATCAGATATTTTAACCATCCAAACAGAAACCAATTTTTTCCTAAAAAATTAAAAAAGAGGGGTCAGAAAAGCACCCAGATCAGATGTTGCTTCTCGTGTATGCAGGCAAAGCTCCAGCAAGACTGACAGTTAGTAATTTCTAGAATTGTAATTACTTACAGGAGAAAGAATTTGACTTGCTGTATATGCAGAAACCCAACTATTCTCTATGTTCCTTGTCTGTGGAATGTTTGATGCTTAGCTCTGAACATTTTAAATAAAATAAAGATTTTGCTCGAAGTTTTTGTGGCAGAATTCCCAGAAAGGATTTACCATCTGAGATCTGCTCTTTGCAGCTCCACTCCACTAAGATAGCAACCACTTTTGCAGATGTAGTTCCTAATTTATTGTATGCAATCTGAGAGACTTACATTTATCCATGTGAGTAAGGCATCTGCACATGATAGTCCTTGCCACTTGTTACATTGGTGAAATAATCTCATTTTCTCAACAAATATATACCTCCTTTTGGTTAGTCTGGAAAAATCAAATGTCGAGGCTAAAGTTTTAAATGGTTACTCTCTAATTAAGACCCTCTGGGGAAAAAAATAATACAAGTTTTAAATACAAATATTGCAGAGATAACAGACAAAGTAACTTTCCTGTCAAATTTTGCTTCAGCAAGGGGAAAAACATGAAATATTTTTATTGTGTAAAATTTTAGTTGAAACTTGTCATGCAATTAACATACTTAGTGAACCATACAAAGCCTTACTTTATTTTTTTAATTACTCAGTCTTTAGAACTGGGTAAACTCTAAAGTACTCCTGAGGAATTTGAGTCTGAACTATGACCAAATCTTTAATCATCATGAAAAGCCCCATCAGGGATAATTTCCAACAACAAAAAGCCTATGCAGAGCTAATTTAGTTGATTACTGAGTCCCAGGGCATGATTTTCAAAAGAAAGCAAATCCTGGAAGATTCCAAGCAGTTTCCCAAGCACTTCAGTATGTGCATGCTGTGTGGAACAGTCTTTCCTAATGATCTTGCCAGGTCTTGATGTCTTCCAAGACACTGAGTAGCTTCTGCTTCACAGAAATCAACAAGGATTTAAAATATTCAGCTACATTAGGTCTTATATTTGTTCTGTACATTTCTGCACGTGCAAGCACAATTTGTACATTTTTGCTATTGTACAAGCACGTTTAACTCCTGCATAGCTTTGGTGAACATATCCCCTTATCAGTTTTTGCCATGTGCTGACATACATCTCCTGAAAATTTGGTGACACAAAGGAAAAATCCCATGCTGAAAAGCTTACTATGGATAATTGCAGGTTTTGTCCCAACGATAAACTTTGGCTTATGAAAAGGGATTAGAACTGAAAGGAAAAAAAAAATCCAAAATTAAGCTTAATGTATAAAATGTGCTCCAAACAAAGTAAGCACTGGTGTACTAGGATATTTTTCCCCAAATGAACAAGAAATTAATAATTTGCAAGGTACTTCTCTGACTGGGGTACAAAAATTAATGGGTAATACTTTGTGTCACTTTTTCCAACAACATAAAGCCCAGAGGAATGTACTGTGTTACGATATTTAACACTGATGTTGGCGTTTTTGGTCATACAAGACCTATCTCAAAAAGGTCAGCCTAATAATTTTCTGGATACCAAAAATCTTGATTGTAAGTATTTGCACATGAAATTCCACATAGGCAATTTGTTAAGTGGTTATTTAAACCCATTTGTATGAATTCATAACCCTGATGATAATGTGAAGCTGATGGTATGAAGATACCATCTTTGTGTTTTAGCACACCTTCATGGCCATTCATGTCCCTGCCCCTCTTATTGCTATGAAATCTAAAATAAATCCCACCTCTTCCTTCCCAGCTCTTCTTTATATAGCTCTTCTTATATGGTGACAACAGACACGTCCTCTTGTGATTTTTCCCTTTCGTTACCTAATATTTTAGTGGTGTGTGAAGTAAATGGAGGTCTATTATTTTCTCACTAGGTTAAGAATTGTGTTTGGAGATGAAGCTGTGCCAACTAAGTAAACTTTGGTGCTTTACACTTGCATTGTTGAACTGTATGTTGTGTGTGTACAGGGAATAGAGCCACAGGTTATTACAAATAGCTTACCCAGGAAAACCAGGCATTTTGCCATAAGCTCATGTGTCAGTGGTTAAATGCCAAGTGTACTGTTCAATTTGGAGAGGATTTTGGATCAGGAACCAAGATTTGAAGTTCCATGAACTTCAGCAATGCTTTAATCCAGTTCCAAACTTTGCATGATAGGACCATTTCGATGCCAGCTATTATAATAGGAGTTGATTGTACCCTATTTATTGTATGGAATTTGTGCAGCTTCCATCAAGTCATGGGAATACTACCCACACATTCATTTCTCCTGCTGTCAGTGGTAGTGTTATCATTCCTTTAGTGAGGACTGTCAATACCTCTTGTTTTGGGGTTTGCTTAGCTGCAAACCAAGCTGCACATGAACCTGTAAAATCCTTGTACTGCTACATGACCATTCAAACTGGGCAGTTAATCTTTCTGAAAGAAACTGCCAATTCAAAAAAGAAAGCAAGATATTAACAACAGGCATTTCAGAACAACAGCTCCTGCAATAGTTAAGTGATGCATTTTAGTCCAAGAAAATTATGAGGTTTAATTTTTTATTGTGCAATTTAAAGAAGGAATATTTTAAAGAAATGTAGCAATGAAATTTTGTAGATTTTCTGTGAGATAATTGGAAGGTATGAAGCTGCATACCCATGAAAGTAGGCAATAACAATATTTTAAGAATAAGCCACAAAGGAAAAACTTTTAGCTTTCTTAATAAAATCTGGAATTACTGTATACCATTCTTTTTAAACCCACAGTACCACAGATATTAGAGAAGGAACTTCTTGTATAAATATATTGTACCACTTTGTTAATAGAATTTTTTGATGACTTTTTGGCTGATTATTCCATGATCTAATAAATCACCACACAATCCACATGATACCATCATGAGAAGAATTTTCACTGAAGCAGACAAGTACTCCTGTAGATTTTTCATCCCACAGAAAAGAAATTATAGGAACTGGCTAGTGATTGTTCTTTGTAGAGCTTTCTTTGCAAAACAGAAGTGCAGTGGTTTATTTTAGTTTAAAAGTTTTGGGTTTAATTTCTGTTTATTCTGCTTAGGGCCACCTACACTTATGGGACCACCAAGAGCCTTGAATAAAGGACAGGATATAATTGTGCTACACAGGACTAAATCAGAGAATGAATAATGGTCTGAGAGGCATAATGCAAGCCCTTGTGTAACTTTACTCTGTGGGGGGATTGTGTTGTGCCAACCCAACTTCCTTGGGGACTGGCACAATTTATCTCTTGCAACACCTCTCCTTCCTGCACCTCCTGAACAGGGATGGAAGAGCAGGACTGCAGCAGTCCGTGTCCTTAAGGTACTTTTCAGCATTTGAAATACCCTGAGGAAGATGTTGGGGGCCTGGGAGTAAAACCCTGGTGATCACTGCTGCAGTTCTTTTGCAGGAAAGCATAAAAAAGAGATATGATATCTCACTGAGATATGGATATTTGCATGTCTACTCTATTTTCAACTGTAGCAAGGTGACTGCAGGTCATAACTTTTGCTTAATCATTGCCTCTGACCTCTCTGACATAGTTCACAACTTGGCTAAAAGAAATTTTTTCCATTTTTGTCTTCCTTGTTCTTCTGACAGGAACATCATGTATTTGCGTTTATTACACGCCTATGTTCTTTGTGTTGCTGGGGTTTAAACCTGACCTAATTTGCAATGATGCAAATTATTACTGTCTTGCTGTCTACTCTTGCTTTTGCTATTCCTGTCATTTTTGGGGCCATTTTCACTTGCTTTCTGGTCTTTTTTAGCACGTTGAATTTCTGTTTTCAAGATCTTCTCCATACCTCTGACAATAAAATTTTGTTGTATCTTCCAGATAATATTGAAATTGAAACACTTTTAGTAATAGAGCTCAAGAGCAAGATTTTAAAGAAATGGCTAAATAGAGTGAGCTGCTTTAATAATACTTGGCAAAGGTGGTGATATGGATTTCCAGTAAGTCATTAATGTTTTTTAACCCCATTACTAGCATTAAATAAACTAAAAATTAATGCTAATAATCCACATGATCTTTTACTCCCACAGCAGAGTCAAGGGAATATCTTGCCAGCAGCCTCGGTAGAGAGGGCAAAGGTGAAGGTGAGGGGTTCTGTCCCCTCAAGCTGTAAATGGCTGGAGCACTGCTGGGGACACTGCACGCATCTCAGACACCAAAATGCCACCCGGGTGGCCTCGGTGGCCGTGACTACACGAAAGACAAGGAGTGACTGGGGAGGGTGCAGTGGAGAGCCACAAAGATGATGAGGGGTCTGGAGCAAGAGCTGTGGGAGCTGGGTCTGTTTCAGTCTAGAGAAGGCTGAGAAGGGATCTCATTTATGCCTACAAACACCTCGAAGACGGGCACGTACAGGGTGGTGCCGGACTCTTTTCAGCGGTGCCCAGCAACGAGCAATGGCCACAAACTAAAACACGAGAAGTTTCACCTCAACATGAGGAAGAACTTCTATATGTTGAGGGTGGCAGAGCACTCGAACAGGCTGCCCAGGGAGTCTCTCTCCATGGAGTCACCTGGACGCGTTCCTGTGTGACCTGCCTTGACGGGGGGCTGGACTGGATGATCTCCAGAGGACCCTTCCAACGCTAACGATCCTGTGATTCTGTGACTCCCGTGCCCGCGGGCCCGGAGCCCCCCGCGCCGCCCCGCAGGTCCCTGCGCCGGGGCCCCGCGGCAGCAGCGGGAGGGCTCGGCCGCCCCGCTGGGATCGGGGGGCGGCGGCGCTCGCCCGGCTCCCCGCCCCTTCCCTCCGCTCCGCTCCCCGCCGAGGCCGCACCCCGCGACCCCCGCCNNNTCCCCGGCGGCCGCGGGCCCGGGCGGGGTTGCGCCGCCGCGGATGCAGGCGCTGGCCCGGCGCCAGCGGCATCGGCGCGGGTTGCATCAGACGAGGCGCTCCGCCACAGCCGCGGAGCCCGCTCGGAGCTGGCCGGGCGGCCGCAAGATGCTGCGGACAGCACCCCGGCTGCTGCGGACCATCTGCACCACGGCTGCGGTGAGTAGCGCGGGGCGGGCGGCCGCGGAGCTGGGTCCCCGTGCCGTGCCGTGCCGTGCCGAGCCCGCGAGCGAACCGGTCGGGGGGCAACCGCAAGGAGGGGGCTGGCGGGAGCGGGTGTTTTCCAGGATGTGATGTCTGTCGTCTCTGCCGAGGATTTAGCAAAGCGCGTACAGGCACGGCAGGGTCGGGAAAGGGCGCGGTGTGAGTGCAAAGGCTGCATCTTGCCCGGCTGCTCGGCGAGCGGGATCGCAGCCATCGTCTGGGCGCTGCATCTTGCAGGGATGTGCCTGGAAGCCGCGGGGAACAGGCAGCAGCGATGCTGTGATAGTGCCCCGTAATCGTGTGTCAAGAACAATGTGATGCAGCCGTTCTCTGCCTCCCTCAGGCTGGATTTGCCCTGCGAGAAGCTGAAGGCTCTCTTCTCAGTTAGAAGGGACCATGCTCTTTCCCAGGGCCAAAGTGAAGCCCCCGGCTCTGGCCTGTTTCGTTTGTGACCTTCTCATCGCCGGTTCATAGCTCTGGCATGGTGGACTGCTAGGGTTGAAGTTGATGGTCTAAATTCCTCTGCACCCCATGGTTTAGTCTTTTACAGCTCTGAGCATTTGTTTCAAGTAATTTTCTTTATGTCTGGTTACATATATAGACTGCAGGACTCCTGCAAGGACCCTCTCCCTGAAAGCTGTGTCCAGTCCAAATTGTCCAGATGTGTAGGTCTGGCAAGTTGGATGGGGCTTGGGGGATTTATTTCTTCCCTAGAGATTGTTCATTGTTTCGTGTTTGGCTGCTCAGTTTTGTTTGAGGACAGCAATCCTCCAAAGGTATCTGCATGGAAGGCGTTAGAATAAGGACATTTGACACAAGCCTTTTGGAAATGCAACCAACAGTGCCAAAAAAAAGAGAATGAATGAACGGTGGGAACACATTGCCCTGGATGTGTATGTAGATGGGGGCGGGGCTCTACTATAGGCTTCTATTTGCAGGCACTGGAATCCAGCACATGTAGGGAGATCTCAGTAGAAATAAAGTTGCAGTACTGCTTTTCAAAAGAAGCATCTCTCTGTGATAATTTTAAAAAGATGTAACATTCAAAATTTTTTAGCTTTACTAAATTCTTATGCAAACTAAGTAAAATATTGTCATCTTTTTGATTATAAGGTTTGTACCCAGGGTAGCAGTTACTAAATCTTCATTTTCAGGAAATGTAATTAGTAGTTCTAACCAGTTGAAGTTTAGATGCACATACAAAAGAGGCAGTAACAGAAAATTATTTTTATCCAACAAAAAAAAAAATTCTCCTCTGAAGAGATTTTGTAAGTTTAGACTCTACTGAGAAGAAAATGTAGATGTTGGACTTATCTCCCATTTCTAGGGAACTTTACAAGATAGTTACCAGCATTTTTCAGGCTGTCATCTATGCAGTACTTAATTCTATTCGTTTTAGTTCTGTATAAGTGTTTTGGAGGAAAAAAAGAGCCAGAATGGAATCAAACATTAAAATACTGTACAACTTTTAATGAGCTATTTTAAAATAAATTCCAGTATGGTATCAAGAGATCATATGGGCAGAATTTTTAAATACAGAAGTTAAACTTAAATCTGTGCTTTTGTATTGAGGTGGTGAAACACATGTGAACTTTGAGACACGTTGAGCATGCAAGATAAGACTGCTTGTACAAACACTTCTCGGATTTTATGCTTCTACCTTTATCTTATTGTCTTCATTCAAATCATGAGTATTTGAGTCAAGGAAACATAATCACTGTTAATCTGTGTTATGCTATAAACAAAATACAAAGTTAAAGAAGAAATTTAAAGTTAAGACAGTGAAAGCAACCGAATTACAGTAGAGTGAAAACTAATTGCCTAAAATCTTGTATTTTGGCAGCGCTGTCATAATAACTATATTATTTTATGATTAGTAATAAAAGAAGGGCCAGATCTCCCTAAGCCACCTGAGCTGCATTGTTTATTATAACTAGGAATTGGGTAATCTTACAGAAGTGCAGCAAATGATCCACTCTGATGCTACATGACCATTAACCTTTACATGCATGGTTCATGCAGGCTACACGTTCATAGTCAACCAGGCAGATGCAAAAGGAGTCTAGTAGAATCTCTTAACATCACTGTCAAAAACAATAAAAAGTTTAATCTCTGTGCATGTCAGTGATAATGATGGAGTATCCATCTAGCGCATATCCAGGATTGTTTTGGTGTTCTTTAACAGAATTTCTAAAGTTTCATGATGAATGCTAGCGATGGCACACTAGTCAAAATGTGCTATTTCTCTAAGACAGAAAACACCAAACTCTTTTTCTTCTCTGTGTCATCTTATAGAACTTTCCGTTTTAATTGCGTGTTATGTCCACATTAAATTCTTCTACAAAATTTTCCCACTTCCACAGGTCTGACTCATCTTAGGTAAAAATGCTTAAGGAGAGTTTCCAAAAGAATATATGAATGGCTATAACATCTCATGCAGTTGTTCCACTGTAATTTTTCAAATAAAACAAAACAAAAAAAAAAAAAGACTGAACTTGTGATCCGAGCACGCAAGCCCCTCCACACAGATATTTTCCTTTTCTTTTTTCTTTATTTTTTTTTTTAAAACTCAGTAGAAATCCTGTTTGTGGCTGACTTGTGGGTGCCACAGTGGAGAGGGAACTCAGGAATCACTGGTCACAGTTATCAGATCCATCTTGCAATTGAAACCAGTCCCCATTTGAGTTACCTTCTGGAAGTGTGAGGCAGCAAAGCTGATTTACTACTAGAATAATGTTTTTGTGCACACAGAATTTCCCACACTGCAATCTTCTCAGTATTGCCAGTTTCAGTTTGGATTTGGTGGGGTTTTTTTATTTGTTATTCATTTGGGGACTACATTCTCTCTTTGCTTCTCACCATTTGTTGATTCAGTTCCACAGCTAGCACAAATTAAATGTGTGGCTTTACTGAAAGTATGTTGATTTACAGCAACTCATGATTTGGTACTGGAACTGCTATGCCATTCCATGTAATATGGGAATCAGATTTATTCACAGGGCAACATGAACTGAAAGTGTAGGAATAGAGGGTGCATATGTTATTAACACTTTGTGAATAAACTCTCTGTGAAAAAGTAACTATTTAAGTGGTAATAAATTTGGACTTAAAATTACAAGAAGATTGTCCAAGTATCAGAAAAGCAGCAGAGTACAGAAGTGAGTACATTAACAGTGCTTTGAAAAGGAGTTTGGGTAGATTTATAAAAGCAATCATATGACATGATTTTTTGTGGTGGCAGAGGAGAAGATTCATTAGCTAAGAAGATCCCTTCCAGTCTTGTGTTCTTACTGAGAAATGCTAATGAAAGAGCAGAAGTAGAATAAGTAATTCTCATCTGGACTATTTTAAACATTTATTTAATATACGAGTTGGGCACTAGTTAGCACAGTACAGAAATCAGAGGATTTCATACCATGCTAAACATGTTCAGTGATCCAGCAGGTTAATCTTTCTCCAATTTGCCTGGCTATAGTTAAGATACTTGGGAAAACCTAATAACTGGTTTTTTGGGTTTTTGTAGTGCAGCAGCATTTCTGCTGTAAAGACATCCATCATAAAGCATTGATAATGAGCACCACCTGCATCAGTTTGGCTTTGCTGGATAAGGATTGCAAGGATAAGTTGTAATTCAGAACAAGGTCTTGTCTTTGTTAAGAACAAAATGATGGACTATTTGAGGTATAGCTGCCAGCAGTGCAATGTTGGTTAGTAATATTATCATCAGCAGTCTTGCAGACATTTTTTGCCAGCCAGTTATAACAATCTGATTTTGCAAGGGCCTGAGTTACGTCCACCTTTGCACCTTACTGCTTGTTTCTGCTGCAGTGGCACTAGTGCTGAGTAATGCTGCAATACAGGACAGTTTTACTATGCAGTTTCATTCTCAGGGAAAATATTGTGTCCAGTACAAATAATTATTTCCTATTGTTTTATATTAAAAAAAAAACCCCACACTTCAATATTCCTGTAATGGAGCCTACCAATTCATAACTCCCTTTTCTAAAGCCAGCTGCACAACAAAAATGTAAGCTGAAACCAGTAAAATGCATCTGTAATATGTCAGCTGTGAAATGAATTGCAGTGGATTGTGGTTTTGAGTAACCTGTTTTTCAGGACATTTCTCTTTGTCGTATGATCTAATGGACAGTGCAGACCATTTTGTTATCCAATCAATAACCCACTCAGTCCAAGTATCCTCGTGTCCCAGCACCCTAAGAAAGGGAAGAGGTGGGAGGAGATAAACATACAAGTGCCAACTCACAAGCAAAACAAACATCAGTGGTTAAGACATTCACAGAGTGCTTTGATTCCTCTAATGGGTCATAAGGAAAAAATGGAAGTCAAAGTCCAGTTGTGAAAAATAAAGTTAAGAAAAAAGGTGGGGAGTGTGTGGATCTATTTCCTACCTTTCATTCAGGCCTCCTAAGAGGAGGGATCTGTATGGTTTGAGTCTAGGAACCGTTTGTGCCAGACCCAGCTTTGAGGAAGGTACGTTTTCTGTTTATTCTGTGTGGACCTTTCCTTTTTAACCAGGTCTGATAGTCCATTTGTTTTCCAGAGGTTTCCAGCTTTTATTTTCCAAAAGCTGACTAGAAATGCAAAGACAGTGCATATAGAGACAGTTCCACCCTTCTGCCATGTTTCCATGCTCATTCCTGCTCCCCTGCTGGCCCTGTGTTAGGACTCATGGCCGTGTGCTATAAATTAGACCAGTGAAGAGATCCAGTTATGAATAAGCTGCATTTTTCATGTCGGTGCCTGCTCACTTCAGTACCCTAATGCAGTTCTTGCAGATACAGCAGTACCAGTTCTGGGATAAAGGAGGTGTTGGAGGTGAGGGACTGGAGGTAGGGTGGGAAAGGAGCACAACTGCCACATAAATCTGAAAGGACTCAGAAGGAAAAAGTAGTTTCCTCGAGAAGCAATCACTTGAAAGACATAGCAATATCTGATATTCTGATATCATCATATTGTTGTGATATCAGAACACATATTGTGTTCTGATATCATCATATCGTTATGATCTAACGATCATAAATTTAAAAAAAAGGTGGAGGTGGTTACTTGCACCTGCTCTCCTTGAAGAAGCTTAAATCACATGTCCAGTGTACTGGAATCCAAATGCAGCAGGCAGTGGAAGTCCAGCAAGGTAACCTTACCTTTAGCACCGTTTTTGCTTGTAGAAGTACCAAATGGATGATCATCACCTTTAACTTGGCAGGAACAGTACAAGTCTGTCTTTAGCCTATACATGTTAACCACAAATAATATACTTCTGTTTAATTACGGGGATTTAGAGGGCATGTTCCAGCCACATAAATTATGTCTACAAAAAGTGTTTTATGTATGTTTCAAAAAATGTATTTTCATTTCTGACTATGGATAAGATCATGGAGCCTCTAATAAGAAGCAGTGGGTGGTCTGTCTAATGAAAATTCTAAAAAAGCCATCTAAACATCAGTGACAGAATCCGATGATACTTTCATGTGAAGTATATTCTCTCTAAATTGTATGTTACCTGTCATTAGTCTCAAAAAATTGATTCTTATTCCATCAAAGGTTTTTAGGTTAGAAAAGACTATTCCATTTTAAATCAAACTGAAAACTGACAAAGAAAGAGCAAGACAGAAATGTAAGCAATAACATATTTTATTTGCATGCTACAACATGTTTTGTTTTAATTCTTTTTACCAGGCTTATCAACATAAGCTAAAGCTAGCCCTTATAGGTCAAAGTATTTTTGGACAAGAAGTTTATAAAAAGCTAAGAAAAGAGGGGCATAAAGTTGTGGGAGTATTCACTGTGCCTGACAAGAATGGACAAGCTGATCCTTTGGGTAAGTGTAACCTGAATCCAAATGTAAAAATTACAGGTGTACATAACAAATTTTCCTTTTCATTAGAAGGTTATAGCTATATGGGAATGACTTGCATATATTTCCTTTTATCCACTAAATCCAGTACGAGACCTATCCTTTAACAAACACCAGTCCCAGAACCAGTTTAACCTTGTCCATTTGTCAGTACTTCAAAAAAGAAACTTTTAAAGTAGTTTCTAAACATGCAGAGCTGTATATTAAGGTATTGGAAAACCAAAATTAATCTGGATATCTTATTGGAATGTACACCCTAGACATATTCATTCTGAACTAGATCTGTATCTTACAGCAAATAGCTGCTGAGCCTATATTCAAGTGCAAATGTCTGTCACCTGCTTCTCTCTGCTGGCTGGGACACTCAAGGCACTGAGCCAAGGTTGTTTATCCCTGGTTTTCTGCCCTTTTTGACAAGCTTGCGTGTGGCAGTGTACCTGCAGAACCTATTTCTCTTCCACCTGGACTATGGAAAACACATTCGAAAGGCTGGAGGAGGCTTTGCTCTCCCTTTATTGAATGCAGGGCACCCCTGAGGCAGGGAGTAATTGGCAGCTGACTTCATTGATTTGGAAGGCTGAACAATTTCTTTATTAAAACTATATTATAATACATTATCCTCTACTAAATTACCTAGCAAAGAGATACTAAAGAATACTAAAGAAAAGCTCGTGACTGAGATAGCCAGGACACAGCTTTGACCTAATTGGCCAAGGAAACAAAACAATCCTCAGTAGAATCCAATTGACAAATCCCTTCAGGTAAACAATCTTCCTAACACATTCCACATGTGCAAAAACAACAGGAGCAGAGAATAGAGATGAAAATTGTTTGCTCTTCTTCTCTCTGTGCTTCTCCAGGAAAAATCCTGTGAGAGAGAATTATGTCTCTCTGTTCAGAGAATGTGAATACCACACGTTTCCCATTGCTGAGGTGCATAACAACAGGAGCAGAGAATAGAGATGAAAATTGTTTGCTCTTCTTCTCTCTGTGCTTCTCCAGGAAAAATCCTGTGAGAGAGAATTATGTCTCTCTGTGTAGAGAATGTGAATACCACACGTGGATTTTCTAGGCTTACAAAAGAAGGAAGTTTTGCTTATTCAGAATTGTACTCATTGTATTCAGAACCCAGCATGGCAAAGAAGCTAATTTGGAACTTAATTTTTTTTTTTTTTTTTTTTTTTTTTTTTTTTTTTTTTTTTTGTTTTTTTTGTTTTTGTTTCAGTGACACAAGTTCAAAGACTGTGAGTTTATATGATTAGCAAATAGAAGTGCCAGAATGGAATGTACCTTTATGGATAATCTGAAATCAAAACTACATTCCATGAGCTGTTTCAATTCTCTCTTGGTTTTGGTTGGGGACTTTTCTGGTGGTTTTTGTTTTGGTTTTTGTTTAGGGTTTGGGTTTTTTTATGTGGTCCTGACATGTTTTTATAGAACTCTCATGAGGGAAGAATCAAACATAAATTTTGCTTACTGGTGCTGTGGTGTTCACAGACTAGCATGTAATTCTCAACTCTACCTCATTAAAAGATTTAATCACACTTCAGAAGAATTAGGGAAGGCAACCATTGGCTTAGAAAATGAAAATTTGACTATCCATGTCTGTTTGGATTACATTGTATAAAAAGTTTATATACCATAACTTGTTTACATTATAAAAATTATTCTTGTAAGGTTGTTACACTAAGAAATGTAACTAAGTAAATCTTCCAATCTTTCAATCGTGTATTGATTTTTAACTAAAACCACAGGACTAATTAAGTCCAATCTCTCCTGACTGGGGGGAAAAAATGAAATTAAATTACTAGGTAACCACTTGTTTTTACTTCCAGATAAAAGCTTAAGTCTCAAGTGTTACCTGAAGTTTTCTGTGCCCTCAGACAGCTACAGTCTTTGTTTTCTAACAGTAACTTCAGTACACACTAACTTGCATGGAATAATATTTAAATAAGAATTTACCTAAGATTTAAATCAACAGGCTAAAGATGCTTCAGGTCAAGCTCAAGATCCAATTTCACAGACAAAAAAGAGAAAGTAAAGTATGGATACCTGTCTTTTCTGTTTTCATTGGTACTTACCAGCCAAGTCATAAGAGTGAACTGAAAGCTGAGATCAACATAAGCTGTAGGAAAAAGAATCAAAGACAGAATTAATAAAATGCATCCAAGCACAAAGGTTTTTAAACAGCATACAGAAGAGCACTCTGTGGTCATATACTTGATGATTTGCTTCAGTTGCCATGAAATATGTCTCTGACTTGAATTTTTAACACAGAATTAAAAAAAAAATACTGTTCTTGCCCCTCAGCACTGGCAGCGGAGAAGGATGGCACTCCTGTTTTTAAGTTCCCCAAGTGGAGAGCTAAAGGCAAGCCTATCCAGGAAGTAGTTGCAGCCTACAAATCAGTTGGAGCAGAGTTAAATGTCCTTCCATTCTGTACACAGTTTATCCCCATGGATGTTATTGACTGCCCAAAACATGGCTCTATTATTTACCATCCATCCATCCTACCACGCCACCGAGGAGCTTCTGCAATCAACTGGTGAGTTCTGTGCATCAAAACCACGTGTTTGTCACGCTAGGGGCTGGTCTGCCCCGTTCCTCTTGTCAATGCTGCACTTCTCTTGACTTGCAAATGCTCTGAAGGAACTTCTCTAGGGCAGCTGACTATTTGGTACATGAACTGCACTTCATACCTAGGATTCATTATTATTTCCAGTGCGAGCTCAGCTGTTGCTCTGGAGGATCAGCGGTGTGAGCTGTACATTCATATATTTTACTCACATGCACGAATTGACAATCTGGAGTTTCCATAAGCAGGACACTGCCCTAGTGGCTCATCCCCACAAACACTCGATAACTGTCACAGGAAGGTCTGATACAGAACCTAAGAGTTCACAGAGAGGAAGGGAAAAGGGAGAATCCACAAGAAAAAACCTTATCTCACAAGGTAGGTTCAAATCATCACCCTGAAAGAACTACACTGCAATAATGGCCACAATAGACTCAAATCTGGCACGCTTGTGACAACAGAAATGACATTATTACAGTGTCTAAATTCAGTAAGAAATTATCTAAATATGGAGGAACAATTTAAAAATAATCTTACAGGCAGCATGGTGATTATCTGAATCCACAGTGTTGTGGATTCAAAGCAAAAGCGTACTTAGCTTTGTTTAATTTTAATCCTTCCTGGAAAAAGTACTAAACTGAAATACTTAAACAGAGGTGTTGAGGAGGCTATTAGAGAGGTAAAGACTTCAAAAAGTGTCAGTTGTGTCCAAGTGTGTAAAGTAAAATAGCATAAACTCAGCAGAAAATGAGAATGAGACAGTCCAGAAAAGAAAGAAATAAACAGCTTTTTAAAGCACAAATGTAATACCAACAATTCCTCCAAATATGTTAAAAGTTGGAGGTATGTAACTGATAGAGGTATGGGATTTAACAAAGGTATTTATCAAAGAGAATATCACAGTAGGAAATCTGTATTGGTATTCAGGATGGAGGAGCTTAAGATGTCCTTCTTTGGGTAGAAAAAGTCAAAACAATTATCTTGAGCTAAACTGTGAGCAGAAGACATTTTCATGAACTGATGAAGGAATAAAAAACTCTTTGTCAGGACCACAGGACATCAGCAAATTTGAAGTTGCAGTGGAGGTATGTAACTGATAGAGGTATGGGATTTAACAAAGGTATTTATCAAAGAGAATATCACAGTAGGAAATCTGTATTGGTATTCAGGATGGAGGAGCTTAAGATGTTACTATCCTACAGTCCTTCTTTGGGTAGCAAAAGTCAAAACAATTCTCTTGAGCTAAACTGTGAGCAGAAGACATTTTCATGAACTGATGAAGGAATAAAAAACTCTTTGTCAGGACCACAGGACATCAGCAAATTTGAAGTTGCAGATTTGAAATGAACTGCAAATGTTTCTGTTTCTTAAGGTTATGTTGATGCAGGTGACTGGGAAATAGCAAAAGCAATATCAGTTTTAAAAAGGCTGAAAGAGAAAGCCAGGAAACTTTAGATCAATCACTCTGATTTAAATCTGTAATACACTTTCTATGCAAATGAGTAAACATGATAATGTGAGAGTGAGAAAATGAGAGGTCAAATTCAAAGTTAAGAAGCATTACACAATGGACACAAGGGGGAAACCCCCTTGACTATATATAAGCAGTGTTATAAGTTAATTGTTGTTACTCAGAAAAGGATTGTTGTTACTCACCATGGAAGGATCCATTCATTCAAGAGTTGGACTCAATTGTCCTTGTGGGTCCCTTCCAACTCAAAATATTCTGTGATTCTGTGATCTTAAATACTGTCTGCATCTCAGCTGGAACATGAACTAGCTAAGTTCGGAAAAGGCTACAAAAGATGGTCAAGGGTATAGGACGGTTTTCACATGGCTGAAGACAAATGATGGAGACTTTAGACTGGAAAAGAGGTCATTGGGAAGGGCATACACCAGCTGTGTGCTGAGCCATGAAAGACATGGAAGGTGAAAAAAGAATGATTGCTCATTCTAATGAAAAGTCAGGGAGCAGTCAGCAAAGACATCAAGTAGTAGGATTTTTCCAAATAAATGAGGTCCTTTTACTCCATGCAGTTTGTTATTAAATTGTGCAACCTCATATCTAGAGAGCTCTAAAAGCATGCTTTTATGGAGGAGAAATTCATCAAGATGTATTTCACAGGAAGGTGTAGACACAAACTCTGTTTCAGGAAGTTCTTTCAGCAAGTGCAAAGGTTTGCAGAAATGGAATGTATTGCAGTGTTGTATCACTGTGTCTTGCTCTATTTTGCATATTCCTTCTGCAAAAGGAATCTTTTCTATCTGCTCCTGCCCTTCTCAAGTGAAGGCCATTGTCCTGAGGCCTTTAAACTAAACTAGGATTTGGCTTTGACTGTCTGTTCTTGTGTTTCACCCTCTCACCCCTTACTCTAATCACTACTTTCACATATTGTGGCTACAGCCCTGGTGCTATCAGACCCTTTATCTTCACAGTATAACCAAGAAAACCTTTGAGAATTAGGCATGGCTAAACATAACCAGGTACAAACAAGGGTCCTGGGGTGCAGAGGGTTCCTCACTTGCTTCCTTTAGAGTCTCTTCCAGCTGCCGCCACTCCGTTATCAGCAGCCCTTTGTGGAGGGAGCTGCTGGACAAAGGAGGAGGCACACGTAGTTCTTACCTTGTCACCTACTCAGCGTCAGAGACATTTGCTTATAAAACCTTCTTTTCCATGCTGAGTACATCCATTTCTCACTAGAGTACTCTTTTGGAATGTTTACATAATAAAAACGAGAAGAAATGCAGCTTAAATATGTGAAAGATCTGATAAAGGCTAGCCAAAATTCTGTAAGCTTTCACTTCTGTTATACCTGCCAACTTCCCCAGCTGTCTTTGGAGTTCGTCCAGTGTTCATCCCATATGTACTTCAGTGTACTTCACTCATTTTAGTGAATGCAGCTTTCAGTGCTTATAACTAATAATGAATTTTCCTGTGTATAAGCCAGATCTCAGACAGTTCTGCTACAACATGGGCTGCTGAGGGAATACTTACATGAGATATGAATTACTTAAAATAGCATTTAAGTTTGCATGCATACACATGGCTGAAAACATGCAGGAAATATTTTTCTCACAGTTTCTGGCTGCTCCCTTAAACACACTTCAGTTTGATTTTTCATCATTCTGAGACACATGCCAAAGAAGACCTGCAAAATTTTAGGTGGCTGAAGTTCCCTTTGGATGCAGAAGCAAATTCTGAGCTGGGGTAAATCGGCACAGGTCTAATGTAAGCACTGCTATGTTCATGCAGAGCAGCTGAGAATCTGGCTGGAAAGCCTTAATTCTGTTAATAACTTTTCCTTAAACAGTTGCATATTTATCATTTTCCACTCTGAGTTTAACCCCTTTTCAGCCATGTGACAAATGTACTTCCTTGTTGACCTGCAGATGAGCCATGAGACTTCGCTAATTACAGTAAACAATCATGAATTATTAAGATAGCATTCTATTAGATGCTTCCATCTTTCAAATTCTGTCATAACTGTTGCACACCTTTTGCTCTGAGTGGCTTACCATTAATAATACTTTAAAAATAATTATCACAGTGAACTATGTGAGACAGCCTGGGTTCACTTGCAGCATTTCCTGTGTCATTGTTGGAAACCACACATCAACAGTGTCAAATCTTTGGGTTCCTGGCTGTGAAGTGAGCAGTGAAAGTATAGTAAAAATTGTTAGGGTTTGCTTTTCTGTCTTCCTGAAGAAAATGAATGTAAAACATGTGAGCTGATATTCCTAACTACTTTAATTTTTTCTATATTTACTGTAAGTATTTTTTTATGCCCAGGACTTTAATTCAAGGAGATAAGAAAGCAGGATTTACCATTTTTTGGGCTGATGATGGTTTGGATACTGGACCAATACTTCTGCAGCGAGAATGTGATGTTGGCCAAAATGATACCGTGGATGACCTATATAACCGGTTTCTCTTCCCAGAAGGAATAAAAGCTATGGTATGTTTAACTGTACTGAATACCAGCTTTTTAAGAGGAAAAGGGATTGAAAGTAAAGGAAATACAGACAAGATGTATGCATTTGGAAAGACAGAGGTTGTGATACTCAGCCAAACCCTGGACTTCACTGGAGCTGTGCAGCTGCCCAACAGCTGAGGATGTGACCTCAGAATATTTGTTGCTGACAGCAGGCAGAGCATATTCTGTTTCCACAAATGGCATGAAGTTGAATTTATTTGGAATGTGGCTCTTTCATACAAGACAAAATCTTTTAAAGGCTCAGCAACAACAAAAAAATTAGGCGTGAGATTTTTAAGAAAAAATGGCAGTATGGTGTTTGAGGCTTAAAGTTCTGGTGGATTGACTTTGGGTTTTCTGTGCTTGTCATTTTTTGTATTTTTTAAAGTAAATAAAAGAAAATGCACAAAAAATACTCAGCATTGCTTCTTAGAGATTTTTTCCCCTCCCTTCATTTAAATGCAGAAAAGTAACTTTTTGCAGAGAGAAAAAGGAAAACATTAAATACAATCATACTGAGCCACACTTCTGTTCTGGAGAATTCAGACAGCTGTTCTAAGTTTGGTGACTAGGTACTCCCATGAAATTCTGGAGGCTATTTCTTTTGTCAAAGAGACTCAAGGAAACACACGTCTGTTCAGGGCAGCACTGGTCCCTTAAGGTTTGGAAATACTAGGTTTAAAAAAATCCAAGCCAATTCACCTTGTGGCAGAAAGTCTTTTACTGTCATTCTGAAGTATGTTTGAAGAAAAAAAGATGAACCAAGCTAACATTAAATCCTTTACTTTTTCACGTAGGTGGAAGCTGTACATCTAATTGCTGATGGCAAGGCCCCTCGTATACCTCAGCCTAAAGAAGGGGCAACATATGAAGGGATCCAGAAAAAGGAAAATGCAGAGGTAGTGTGAAGTAACACTGGGTTTTTTTGTGCATAGTACTAGAAAAGTTATTAATACAGACTACAGTAGCAGCAATATAAAGTTAACGTGAATTTTAACTGAGTGGTTTCCTCACCTCTTTTTCCTGGAATACCTCTTAGGATGCATGTAATGGAGCCCTAGGTTAAGTTCCATTTTCCTTTCAGCAGTTGCATGTATTTAGAAACTTGGTGTCTTATTTGGAATCATGTACAGGCAGCTGCAATTTCAGTGGATTCTTAGTAAGCTACCATACTTGTGAATACAACATTGAATCAAGATCACTCTCTTTGTTTGCCAACAGGCCATATGAAATTCTCTACCAGAAATACATTTGATTTTAGGAAAACAAAGTTTTGGCACCTTTCCTTCTAGTGCCAAAAAATAACACAGGCTGTATAAACAGAGATACAAATATTAATTGAATTCCCATATGAGAATTATTTTATCTAAGCACCCCTACTGCATTAGATGATCTTGTTTGTGGTTGGGAAGGTGGTGGTGCATCCTGGCATGTCTTGATTTCCTAGATCTCCTGGGACCAACCTGCAGCAGCTTTGCACAATTGGATTCGAGGGCATGATAAAGTGCCTGGAGCATGGACAACAATAAATGGACAGGTATGCTCTGAAAACCAGAAGAATATTCTTATCTATACTCTCTTTTTGACTCTTTTTTATTATAAAATTAAAGATATTTGTGTACAGGTGAATACAAATGGCTGTTACATTGGAGTAGCTCTAATCTGATGACTTTATGTTTTGTGTGTATCTAGAACAGGCACCTAAAGAAACACACAGAACACAGTAGTTAAGAGTTTTTAATAGCAGAATTAACTTAATTTGAAGAAAGATAAGTACAAATCTGAGAAAAAAAAAAAAAAGAGACATGGTACAAAGGTACGAAGAGTAGAACCAAACTGTGCCAGTCGTTTTGGAAAGCAGGTATGCATTACAGTATAGTACAGCCCATGTACAGTGGCCAACATCACAGTGTGGACAGCAAAATGAAACACTGTGGGCTGCTGAAATAACAGAGGGTTTCATTTTAAAGAGATTTGGGTCTAGATATTTTGCAGAAATAAATTATGAAATGTTATAGAGTGAGTGGTCCCTCACTCTGGGATGCACTGTCAAAAGCTGCTCCCTTTCCTGCACTGGTTGCAGCATGCACATTGTTACAGCTCAGCTGCTTTGCAGGTTTAGGCAATTTGCAAAGTTTTACATGTTCTGAGTTGTAAAGGTCTAGAAATGTTGTAACATATTTTCCATGTGTAGGTAATTATATATGATTTCTATTATATTAAAGCTTCAAAACAGTCTAATACAATTGTTAACATTTTACAGCACACTTAGAACCTGTGTGCTTTTAATTACATTTCTTTTTAGGTGGTTACTTTTTATGGATCTTCATTACTTGACGCTTCAGTGCCTGCTGGACAAGAGCTGACAATAAAAGGTGCCTCAAGACCAGGACTTGTGACAAAGAATGGTCTAGTAGTTTTTGGAAATGATGGCAAGATGGTAAGTGCTCAGTCTGGCAAACATAAGCATGGATGGAATTGTTTTATTAAGAAGGGCGAGTAGTGTGGAACTGTCAAGCTAGATAAATCCAGGTGCTAATGACTGACAGCTGATTCACTTGGAGTTTATCAATCCTCTACCATCCTATAGAGAAGATGTTCATGTTCTGCTTTTCACTCAATCCATCATCATTTCCTATATGGAGTAAAATCTGTTCTTACTAGGACAGGATTTAAAAGACAGGTACGAGTGGCCTGTGCTAAATTGCCTGCATCGTATCAGCTTTCCTGCGAGCCATTTATTTCACTATTTCAATCACCCTGTTAATGCTTAAAACTCTTCACCCAAGGATGTGCTACCTCCCAAACAATTTAAAATCATATCCTTTCATTTTTCAGGTACTAGTGAGAAATCTGCAGTTTGAGGATGGCAAAATGATCCCTGCATCTAAATACTTCTCTGCTGATGAAACAATTGCCCTGGAACTTAGAGAAGAGGAGAAAAAGTTTGCAGAAGATATCAGAGTAATTCACTAAACTGCTTCAGTGGGATATTATTCAGCCAAAAGCATGACATACTTACTTTTGGCAAGGCATATATTTTGTTTAGTCATGCAAGTAATTTTTTGATAAAATGTACTCAAAGTATATGGGGGTGAAGGTTTAGTTATTGATATTAATTCAGGTGGGGATTCACTGGTGTATTTGTCTCACTTTACAAAGTTTCCTTTCAGATACAGGTGATACAAAAACAGTGAGTGCAGGTAATGATAAATATCTACAGGTGATGAAGGTGGGGTGAGGAAAAACAAGCTGCCCTTCACCTCGTAGAGGTGAGGTTTTCAACACTGGCAGACTCGGACAGTTCCTGGAATCCTTTTTTCACTGTGGTGTTCATCACTAGGTTGTGCTCAGAGTGGGCCTGTTGGACAAGCTCCAGGGATTCTCAAAACAGCCTTCTGAAAGCAAAAGGCAGCAGTTTTTCCACTGTACTTGTGTGCACTTCTTCTGTCACAACCACTCACAAGGGGCTGGCTGCCAGAGGGATGGGAACAGCTGGAGCAGAAAACTCTCATAGCCAGAGAGAAACTTTTCTGCCCTCTCCTGAAATCCATCCCTCTGTAGTGTCAGGGGCTTAGCTGAAAGCCACATTTATCATTAAAGTTTTGTGCCAGAGCAAATTAATCATAGATGTCTTCCCTTGTGCTGACTCTGCTGAAGGGTTATTAACTTTTGGCACAGGTCAGGCAGCTTCATGTACTAATATTTTAAGCTGCTGATTCAAGATTACCTTGAACCTGCTTGCAGCAACATAAATACTGCCTGGAGCTATTGAATGACTGAGAAAATGATGAAAAAAAGTATAAACTCATCAGCTGATGACACTGCCTGCTAACTGTGAAACTCAGTTATAATTAATTGAAATATTACAATACCAGTTATTGAACTGTTTATTTCTCCATCTCATGAATGCAGCTTAAACTACTTCTCAGCCTTGGCCGGGTGCCTGAAATATCATCAATCCATTCATAAAGTGCCCCAGGCTGTCCTTGCCTATACTGATGACACATTCTGTAATGCAATGGGAACTTATTATTTGGAGGATAAAAAAATCTTTTAAAGATGGGCCTGAAAAGTTTTAGCATTACACCATTCAGGTTTCTTACCTGATTAGGCAAAATTACCATGGACAAAATACTAAATTTTGATCATGTAATTATACTGAAAAATTCCTTGTCTGATATAATGTCTCTAGACTGTTTTAGACCCTCTTAAAATAACTTCATGTTTTAGAAACCTTTGAAATAAAATATGTTGTCAGCACAAATACCATAGAAAATACAGTTTGATAAATACTTTTTGCTATTAGAGGATTATTCACTCTTGCATCTGTTATTGTTCTGTATTATTAGGCTATTTGGAAGGGAATTTTAAGCAATGTTGCTGTGATTGAGGATTCCACAGACTTCTTCAAATCTGGAGCATCCTCTATGCATGTTGTCAGGTAGGAATATTCAAAATAAGAAAATTGTAAAGCAAAAGTTAATAAAAAAAAGTTGTCATGGTGCGTTTAAATCAGTGGTGTTAAAAAAATAATCCCTGCATGTTTTCCAATACTCTTAATATTCTCTTTCTTATATTGGAAACATGTACTGTTCTTCTCCCAAAGTTATGAGGTATTGCTGAAATCCTGCTCTTTCTACTGAAGGAAAGTTCCCCTTAACTTCAGGAATGTCATGCCCATGGGAGCATGGTGATGCTCAAACCTGTCTGCGTGCAGCCACAGGTATCTCCAGAGCAGGGGACTGACTGGGAACCTGAGCAAAGACCTCCCCCGAGGGAAAGAGAAGCCTTTCACAGAAAGAATTGAGCCCATGCTTAAAGATGTGCTGAGTTAGCCATGGCATGGGTCACCTTGTTTGCCTTCTTTTTGCAGCACAGACCATAATATAAAACCAGCATTTTTAAACAAACTGATTATTGTGCTGTTTGCCTGCCAAGCTCAATGTCCTCCGTATTGTGGTTGGAGTAGTCCCAAATACTGTTTTCCAATGGCATATCAATATATTCTAGTAACTGATTTTCAAAAGTTTTCCTAGGAGTATTCTAGAAGTGACATTTTCTTTTTCATAGCATCCACAATTAATTGAAACCAACAGATTTCAGGAAATTGCATCACTTCTGTGCCCTTGTCAGAGAAACACACACACGTATTCACATGCACACAAACTGAGGCCCAGTTTTGATCCCTTTTGCCCTTCTAATGATTCAGTTATCTGGAGAATTGTTTAATTTTTAAATAAACTTACTCCTTCTTCAAAATCTTTAGACTGCTAGAAGAGATCAAACAGAAACATCGTGGACTGCAGCTACAGAATGAAGATGTGTATATGGCCACTAAGTTTGCAGACTTTATTCAGATGGCTGTCAGAAAACTCAGAGGAGAAGACAAAGAAGAAGAGTTAGTCATTGATTATGTAAGGCCTTTAATTTTGCATTGTTGCTTACACTTTCCTGGGTTTTAGGGGAGGGCAGAGAATGCATTTTATTAGACTGCTTGATGCAGTAGGAAAGCAAGGAACTACTTGGTTATACAAACTTCTATATATTTGTATATGGTCTCTAATACATTTTACTTCTAACAGCCATATATGTAGGCTAAAATGTGTCTGGATATTGACTGCAGATATCAAAAGCTTGTTAAGCTACATTAAAATATTAGTTATTATAATTTTTAAATAATTTAGTTTTTATTTCACCCAGGTTTCAAAAAATATGAACAACATGACTGTGAATATGCCATACCAATGTTTCATAAATGGGAAATTTGTAGATGCTGATGATGGAAAAACATATGACACTATAAATCCAGCAGATGGATCAGTAAGTAATTTCTAAATATGACTGATACCAGTTTATTTCATTGGTTTTGCTTGTTAAAAAATCTCAAACATCACCTGGATATTGCTAATTTTAAAACGTTAATTTTAAAATATTTTAAATTAAACAACTTCTAGAAATAATTTCAAGTTTCAATTTACTTCACATTTTGCGTATTCTACAATTTTTTCCATTTGAGTCAAGCTGCAAAGCAAAAATAACCTACTTCTACTTCAATCATTACAACACTCTTCACACCCTGCTGAACATTTTACCTTAATTTCATTCTTGTTTAACTTTGCAAGCAGAAATTGCTGGAGCCTATTTGCTAAAGAAGTGTTTATTTTAGGATATTTGGTATATTTCCTATCAGTAATCAACTTCTTTTTTCTTTTTACTTTTTTAATAAATCTGATACCTTAGGGTAATTTTAACACTAAAATGTCCCTTTAAATTCCCAGTAAGAAAAATAACTTTTCAATAGGAAAATACATACTGTTGCACTTTAGTCCTGAACTACCCAATATTGGTTGAGCAAATCATAACTGTGAATTAGAAATAAGAGAAGTGATTCTGATGTCCATGTAGTTGCCATTTAATTCTGGAGTACATGAAGTCTCCTAAAATCAATGACAAAAATTTCATTATCATCAGAAGTCAGACTCTGATACTTTTCCTGAAACTCATTATAGAGTAGAAGTCAAAACCATTCTGTGTTAGGATTTACAATGTGTGTATTTAGAACACGATCATCATAAAATACTGTGTGTTATGGTGGTTTATGATAACAGAAGCTCCATTCCTTAGAAATGGAACACATGGGAGTTGTTTTAGCATGTTGAGATATTAGATTGTGATACCACACATAAAGACTTCCAGCTTTTGTAATACCACATTGGTTTTATATAAGGAAAGAGAGAGGGTGAGATCCCATGGGACAATGCATGTTACTTTGGAGAAAAAGAAAGATTAAGGAATCTGTCTCCCTGCAGTGTCCTCCAAATTCTATCGTCTCAATTGTGTCTAAACATTTTGCAGCCTGGCTCACCCAGGACAGCTGCCACAGATGAGGATATTAAGTATTTGCTTATACCCAGTCTAGAAGTTTGGGAGGAAGGAGTAACGCACTGTATCCCACTGCTTCTTTTTGAGCTAACACAATGCTACCTTTGCACAGGTAATAGCCAGTGTATCTTCTGCTTCTCTGGCTGATGTTGACAAGGCAGTGGCAGCAGCAAAGGAGGCTTTTGAAAATGGTGAATGGGGGAGGATGAATGCAAGGGAAAGAGGGCGACTCATGTACAGGTATGTACAAGACAGCTTGCATTTGTTTCATTTCTTCAAATCTTGTTTTGTTTCTCTGAAGAATTGTTGTTTACATTTTCTGAAGGTGATGGATGTTCATAATCCCACTGTCAGAGTGGATTATGACTAGCCATCTTTTCACCCCCTGACTGATTTTAGTGTACCAACCTCAGCTCTCAGCCTGCCAACCTTTCTTGTGCCAGAGAAGAATCTTGTGGTCCCTCAGTGCTGCCAACTTTTCATTATCGTTTATGAATGGAAGCAAAGAATTTGAGCAAAATATATTTTAAATACTTGATGTCTTCATTTAATCTATATGAGTTTCATTGCAAAGACTGAGAATTCCCTTGTAAACCCTCATCCTTCCATGTAAGTGAGGCTAAGCTTTAAAAACAGTCTACCTGAGTTAGGTAGGCAGAGATTGACCTTGCTAAGCCTGCCTGCATGTGCACTCCATACAGTAAATATGCACCTACATTGCCACTAATTTTGAATTAGACTGTAAATGATGCTAGATTTTTCCAGGATCATATGCCAGCATCTGGCTAAAGACCCACTGTAGGACATGTGTTATGGTCTGTAGAGGAAGAATTGTCCTGTGCAGGAATTTTCTAAGCTAATTCCAACATTTACCTGAGAACTTCTGTCTCTTTTTTGTATCTGTCTCACCATGTCTAGTTAATGCCTGGTTCTTATTTTTGGCTGTGTTGCTATTGGCTCAGAAGATAAGCAGAGGTTTTGTTGAATTAATGCTATTTTAGTGGTGAGCTTTGATTCTTGAAGGGGTGGAGGTGATCTTAGAAAGATCTCAATGCTGACTAGATAGTGTGAGCATGACACAAGAGGCAGCTAATAAAACCCAGAGTATTATAGATTCTCCAGATGCAGTATGATGCTTCTCCCAAGCACAAGGAGGACACTGCCTTGCAAACTTTAGGTGACTAGAAGCATCAGAGCTTCCCTATGAAGAAAGCCTCTTTTGCGGGCTCTACGAGAAGCTTTCATTGCTTTTTCAGGTCTAAACATGCAAATGAATGAGCAGACACGAGTAAAGAAGCTACTTTTTCAGGTTGCTACTCCTGAAAAAAATGCCACATGTTTTACAAGACATGGCAGGAATCTTAGCAAAAAAGAATGAAAGCAAAGCTAAAAATTCAGCTTATCTTTTAAAGTATGTGACCAGGCCATGGAAAAAGGCCTGCAGGACTCTTACACAGTTAGTAGTCATCACAAGAGAAAATGGGCAAGTCAGAACGGAACATTAAATACATCTGGTCACTTCTGTTTTTCACAAGTGTGCACATATTCAAGGCATGCATAAACTTGTGTTTAATTTGTATCAGGAATGTAGAGTGCTTGAGAGACCAAGTTAACTCTGACCTAAAGAAAAAAATCTTAAGGTGTGAAAACTCCTGCTCTGTTTTAGACTTGGAAGATTTGCAAGAATAGCTATATTAGGTATATGGAAAATACAGTTCCCCTACACTGGGCTGGTTATCCTGGATTAAAAGCTTTGCTTAGGGAACTCATTCTCTAGGATAAAACACCAGTGTGTTTGTGTTGCAAACCACTCCCAGTGGATAAAAGCTCTCTCTGGACCACCTTAATTGAAATAAGGCCCTTTCTTCTCTGGCCTCTGTTCAAAATGGAGATTTTGAGTGCTGAACCAAAGAGAATGTGTGTGCCATTAAAGCTCCTAGCTCTGCTGCTTTGTCTTAAGGAGTCATTAATAGAAAATATTAAGCACACTTTAAATGGAACCTTCTCCTTTGTCCCTGACATGCCCAAATCCATTATCTTACACAACATTGCCAATGCCCTGACCTGCAGCTGGGTCTCCAAGATACACTTAAAACAGGTATTAAAGAGCATTTTCCCACATCTATGCAAATGCTTTAAATGGCCAGAATTTACATAATGGAAAAATTTCACAAGTTTCACAGTTTTGAATACCCTTTACAGGATCAAAAATGGACTTTTCTTAAGCTCTTAAAATCACATGGGAGCACTGATTTATATATCTGAGTACCAAATCATAAAGGGAGGCTGAAGAAAAACATTAATGCATGTGAGACAATGTGAAGGACTGAATGTGAAAATTCATTGATGCAAACAGACCTGAACAGGAGACCACTAAACTAATAGTAGTACCTCATAAGTACAGATATCAATCTGTGCAGATGTATTTTTGAGATACTGATAGTTATTATCAACTTAGTAATACTTACTACAGTCTTACTTACACTTTAGTGAGTTTGCACAGTTCATGTCTTCATTCAGTCTTTAATACGGCCAGTGCAAAGACATTTGCAGAGTAATGGGCAATTGTTCAATCCTTTGCTGATATTAAGGAGCAGTGCCTCCACCTCCAAATTTAGTGGGAATGCTGTTTTGATTATGCTTCTTTTCCACACCTAATATAATTTTAGATGTAATTTCCTTTAATGTGGATTTTTAACATTTTTATTAAAGACTTGCAGACCTGATGGAAGAACATCAAGAGGAGTTAGCGACAATAGAGTCTATTGACTCAGGAGCTGTCTACACTTTAGCTCTGAAGACTCATATTGGAATGTCTGTGCAAACATTCAGATACTTTGCTGGATGGTGTGACAAAATTCAGGCAAGTGAATATGTAAAGGAAATTATCAATGGCAGTGCTTCTCTACACTTCTTTTTTTGCTGTTATTCTTCTGAAACAGTGCCAAAAAGTAGTAAAGGGAAAAAGTTACTGAGGAATCAAAAACTAAAGCAAAATTAGAATTTTACCTAGAATGGGTTTCCCTGTCAGTACAAAAGGAAAGTCCACCTCCAGCTGGAGAATATGGATTAGAATGTGGCTCTAAATAGTGAAGAAATCAGCTGAGGTGTCACAGTGGGTATATTTACTTGGTCAGCTCTTGGTTATTCACAGGGCAGAATGTCACTGTGCTCATTATGCAGGTAAGTGCAGAGACTTGCACTTTGCTGCAGTCTGACCAAGGCTGGTGAGTTTGCTTGATGGTGGAACATGTGGCACACGTTCAAGAGCATTTCTTCCAGCATCTTTAAGACCAACCAAGAATATCATCCAGCTTTTTTTTTTTTTAAAAATTCATCCCGGTTTTTTTTTTTTTTTTTTTTTTTTTCATCAGACCCTTGCTTTATGTTCTCTCATGCTTTTTTTAAATCTGTGCTGTTATTTCACCCAGCTGACAATCAGGACTTGATTACAATATCCACAGTAGGAAATCATACAGTAGGAGCATCTGTGCCCCTTCCCCTGATGCAAAAATGCTTGTGGTTTTGAAGCCTACTCTGTAGCTTTCTGAAACATACTTACATGGCAAATATATTTATAATAAAATTATAAATCAGTATGAAGATTTGTCCCTCCTCTGTCTTTTAGGGTGCTACAATTCCAATTAACCAGGCCCGGCCAAACCATAATCTAACATTCACCAAGAAAGAGCCAATCGGGTGAGTATCACTTTCTTCTTAGTGACAGATTTGACATGCAGAAAAGCCATTGAAAAGCTGCCATCAAATGTGTAATCTTTCCCTGTTTTTCCGTGCCTGAAGTGTCTGTGCAATTATTATCCCCTGGAATTACCCACTGATGATGCTTGCATGGAAGAGCGCAGCATGCTTGGCTGCAGGCAATACCCTTGTACTCAAACCAGCTCAGGTAAGAGCAAAAGGAAATGTACAAATGGCCCAGATGCCCCTGTTCAGGCAGAATGATTTAGGCAATGTAGCAGATTTCACCCATAGGTTGATCTGTCATATGTTGACTGTGTCATATATTTGAAAGTGCATTTGTAATAATACAAACTGCCATGGTGATACAAAGTATTGATTGACTCCAATTCCACCCTGGTGCTAATCTCATTTTCAAGAATTATTTTCTGCAAGAAGCCATCACTTCTAATTTGCAAATACTGTAACAAGGTGAATATTGTATCAAAACTAAGATATATTGAGTGTAAAAAGTATCATCATGCATTTGATTAAAACAGGAGACCTAATCTAAATGTTTCTACTTAGGTCACACCTCTGACTTCCTTGAAGTTTGCAGAACTCTCAGCTAAAGCTGGATTTCCTAAGGGCGTTATAAATATTCTGCCTGGTTCAGGTAAAACTTGAACATTTTTCTGGGAGAGGTCATGCTAAAACTGGTGAAGTTCTTCACCTTTTTGAAGATCTACTACATAGGTCTGTTCACAGGTACTAGGCTTCCATCTTTTCATGCAGTGATTTCACATGTTTCCAGAAGAGAAATGGAAAAATCTGGCTTTAGTTAGTGGTAGGAGCTGTCAGCCTACGCCCTTTACAAGTTCACACAATTGACACAAACACTCTGGAAAGAATGTATTACAGAGAAACATGTTCACTTAATTGTGAAGCTTATTTGTAGTCACGGGAATAAAGCTGCAAATGTAAATAGGGATGTGATACTGCATTTGATTTGTGGTGTAAGCTCCTTCTGTGTTACAGTGCTGCTGCTGGAGTAGTAAAATTGTCCATGTACAATCCAGTTACACTGCTTTCCTCACTCTGATAGGTGGCTTAGTGGGACAGCACCTCTCCGAACATCCAGATGTCCGCAAAGTTGGATTCACTGGTTCAACACCAACTGGTAAACAGATCATGAAGAGGTACACTCAGCAAAAGAATCATAAATAAACCCTGCTTAGTCTGGTTCTGAAGTATCTTACTAGATATATTGTGCATGTAGCAGTGATGAAAAAGCTTAACTATATATAGTTGTTTACTACTATGTAGAATTGATTAAGTCACTACTGGACAGCAGAGGTTTATATGACTATTTTGGGTTTATATGACTATTTTTATTTTTTACAGTGCAGCTGCTAACCTGAAGAAAGTTTCTCTGGAACTTGGTGGGAAATCACCATTGATCATATTCAGTGACTGTGAACTTGACAGAGCTGTAAAAATGGTAATGTTACTTTGAAGTAAAATTTATTCCAAGCCTTTGTGGTACATCCTCACAGTACTGCAATATTATTCCTGAGTTGCCAAAAAAAACCAAAAAACCCAGGGATTCTTTGCATGAAAAACCTTGAGATCTGTTAGAAAACAGATTGCTTTATGCCAGCACAATTTAACTGTTCGTGCTGCCCCAAAAAGGCAGTACTACAAGAAATACACATTAGAAATTACAACAAAACAAAGAATTGAGCCCCCTATTGCCATATAGTTTTTAGTTCATCAATCAATCATCAAGTATCAATCATAATAACTCACCTTCCCTACCACCTATATTGTGTTCAAAGTTCCTAAATAAGATGTTGCACTGGTGATATCCTTTAACATAAAGCATTAAACTTCTGGGATCACAAATACTGCATGCAACCTAAGGGAACAGAATGGAGACTGAAAAAAAATGCATATAAATATTTATGGTTTTTTTCCTGATCAGGGTATGGGAGCAGTGTATTTCAACAAAGGAGAAAACTGCATTGCAGCTGGCAGGCTGTTTGTGGAAGAATCAATTCATGATGAGTTTGTTAGAAAAGTGGTAAGATATTAAAAAACTAAAGTTTAAGCATATGTTTTACTGTGGCAGAAGGATCGACTAGTTTTATAGACATTTGTGTTTCTTATTTTCAATTGCCTAATTTCTCATTATTGCTTGTAGTAGACAGTGCTGCTTCTCAGGAACCTCTTACATGGTTAAAAGGAAGCATTGAAGGGAGATATTTGTATCAGTAATGCAGATAAGTGGCAGTTAAATAGATATTGTACCTTCAGTGATAGTTCATATTTGACTAGGAAAATAAGATTACAAATAATTACTGAACTCAGGTCAATGTGATTGAAGAAGGCTTCTGTAAAGTCAAAAAAAGGAATATTGGAAGCATAGCTAGAATAATACAAAGATCACTATTAAAAATGCAATAGTTGCCATGCTGTGCCACTGGAGAATTCATTTATTTTGCTTAAGAACAGGAAGTCACCATTTAAGTCATATACCACAGGTAAAAGTTAACATTTTACACGCCTATCTTAATAGCAGAAGAGAATACACACATGAACAAAGCATCAAAAACTTTCAGAAGTAATTAGAGATTATGAAACAAAAGATAAAGCCTAATTTTAAAAAAGGGAGAAGCATTATATCTAAGAATCCAGTATTTTCTTGATTCAGTCTTCACAGCACCAAAAAATGCAGCATTCCAAATTTCTGGTCACTTTAACAACATTGCTGTGTTATGTAACTTCATTTCAATTGGGTAACCTATAGGTTGAAGAGATAAAAAAGATGAAAATTGGTGATCCACTTGACAGAGCTACAGATCACGGTCCGCAAAATCACAAGGCACATTTGGAAAAGCTGCTGCAATACTGTGAAACTGGAGTAAAAGAAGGAGCCACTCTAGTGTATGGAGGAAGACAAGTACACAGACCAGGTAAAAGGCTTTCCAGAGATACTTTGAACTTTTACACTTTATGTAAAAGCTGTCACCATTGTCTCAGCTGTATTTTGTGGAGTTGCAGTATCATGGAAACAGTACCAGGTAAGCCCATGATACCACAGAGCTTTCAAATCCACTATTATGAGAAGCTGTGCAAATTAAGTATGAGATCTTTATTTAAGCCTAAAATCTATCTCTTTGTTTCCCAGCAAGAAAAACAGTGGCCTCTGTGACTTGCTGTAACCTTGTCTTCAGAGTATAGGGTCTTCCCCCAAGGAGTCACCTGGGCTGTGGCACACAGACCTCCCAGCCTGGCAGGAAACAGCACAGGTTGTCACTGATGTACAGGCTGCTCTTTTACCCTCTTGTCTGCCATTTCTCTTGAAGTGCATGCATTTCCATTCATACTTCATATCTGTTTTCTGTTTCAAGTTGAAAATTATTTATGACCTCAAAGCGTGGGACAGAAATGGCCTGGACAACAGCAAACCCTTAAGCACTTGTACCATGCTTGAACACTGCTCTATCCTCTCTTTAGGTTTCTTCATGGAACCCACTGTATTCACAGATGTTGAAGACCATATGTATATCGCCCAGGAAGAATCCTTTGGTCCTGTGATGGTTATATCTAAATTTAAAAATGGGTATGTTCTCGTCTGGTTACTGTACCATTTTCACCCAAAGTCAGGAAGTGACAGCATACACAGTATTTTGTTAAATCCTGTTAGACCAACCTGAATATCTAGTATTTAGTGAAATGTTTTAGTGAGGTTTGTGTGGTAATTGCAACAGCTTGATCAAATTACGAAATGTATATTTTTCCCAGTGGAATTACTTATTTTTCCTGTTACAGAAGACTGCAGTGTTGTGTAACACTGGCATATTACTGTTGCAAATGAAAACTCCTCTGTATATTTTGTAAACTGTCATTTCTAATATCTTTCATTCTGGATCATAAGAATTATTTAACATATAGATGAGATTATAATTCTACATAGAAACTTCACATAAATATTTCCATCAGGTTTCATCTCCTGCAGTTTGACAATAAAGTTAAGAACCAGCCATGTAGATAACCCTTCACATCCATAAATTCTGTAGTCTTAAGGGACTGCACTGAATTTTTTAAAGTTTTAAACTACTATTGATTTTTGAAGCTGTATGAAGATGAGATGCAGATAGAAAACAGCACTGTGGAAATAGTCTGAAAAGTTGTGTCTTGATAGCAGTTTAAATTCCAGCTTTTATTCTGCATTAACTTGTAAAGCTGGACAAAATTTTAGCAAACTGATTCATCATCTGCTTTACAGGCATTTTTGTATTGCTCTAATTCCCAAGTTGTACTGTAGCAACATTTCCTGTGGCATTTCTCAGTGTAGATATTAACCTTTGAAAAGTGAAGTTATGAGCTTCACAAGCTTGAAGCAAGGGTGTGAATTGCCTTGGATCTGTCAGATTGACACACCGATTTGTCCTTAATAAGTCATCTTTAAAAAAGCTCACTGGAGAAGAAAGGCCATGTGAAAATTGCTTCAATGACACTGAAGGTAGAAGGCTGCTAACACTTGTTTATTTTACCTAGTTGCAATGAAATAATTTCTTTCCCCCACAGGGATGTCGATGGAGTATTGCGACGGGCAAATGCCACAGAATATGGCTTAGCTTCAGGAGTTTTCACAAAAGATATAAACAAAGCTCTCTACATCAGTGAAAAGCTAGAAGCTGGGACAGTTTTTATTAACACTTACAATAAAACTGATGTGGCAGCGCCATTTGGAGGATTTAAGCTGTCTGGCTTTGGGAAAGATTTAGGTAAGTTGTTTCCTTCCCTCCTTTATTGTCTCAGCGTCTTAGTCAATGAAAGAATTACAATCCTTAACCCAATTCCTCTCCCTCCCTAAATATTCCCACTTCAATACCTCCCATTCAGCATTTCCTGTATATTTGCTAAATAACACAGAATATTCCTCTCCAACTACTCTGAGAGCAGACAAATAAATTACAGCTTTTTGTACAGGCTACAAAAGGCTGTCAAGTAACAATGGTATTGGCCAAAATATCCTTTCCCTCAGATAGAATGCTAATTTAGGTATCTCCTCTAAGTAAGAGCATGGGAAACTTTTTTATACCTTAAAATGTCACCAAAATTTGCCAAGAGACACAGAAAAAGATGCATTAAAAATATTCTCTTTTCAAAACAACTTTGTAGAAAAGTGAAGTTTATTTTGTCAAAGAAGCTTTGCAAGTCTGGACAGCTCAAGCTTCATGGCAGAGAAAAAAGGAAAATCAAATTTCATTCACACAACAGATTTTTGCTTTTGGAATCTCCAAAGACACTTCCTGAAACCACAATCAGTCATGATGTCAGGGAAAAAAAGATTACTGATTTTCACACAGCTTCTCTACCTCTGACCTTTAATAGAGGAGAAGCAAAGTTCATAAATACACCTATGAGCCCCCAGTGGCCATCTAAAGACTGCTGCTGCTTGGGGAGCTGCTTGTTAAATCTAGTTCCTTTTTCTTCCACATCTGTTGGGTCTGGCCCCTTGTCAAACCAGGTCTGTAAATCACAGTGGGAAAGTAATTAGTTTTCATTGTTCCTTAAGAACTCAAATATTGGCTCCAGTGTTTAAAATTTTTTCTTAGTAATAGTTACAGTTTGACAAAATTCATTTAGCTGCTGTTCTAACAGGTGAATATTGTGCTTGTACAGGTGAAGAAGCTCTTCATGAATATCTCAGAACCAAAGCCATCACTGTGGAATATTAAAGTAACAGCTTCACTTGGGAAGCAGACTGTCAGCAGAGTTTGAATCTTGATTACCACACCAAGCACTCAATCCCACACCTAGGATATGCTGTCTGCAATGCTACAACCAAAAGAACAAAGTAAAATACTCATTCATGGATAAGTTTCTATAAATTAGGACCAGATTTTAGTCTGACAGACAATGGCTTTTGGAAATCACCCTGAAGTTATTTAAATTATGCAGCAGCAACAGTTGGTAGCACAATTTCTTCCCATCATCCCCCCACCAAAACCCCCCAAGAATATGGTTCAGTTTCTTTTTTTTAAACAAAACTGAAGAGTTAAGTTCTCACACACCTACTTCATATTTCTGTGACATAATATTTACATGATAATTTTAAATCTTTAGTCATTAGGCTTCCAAAGTTGAACTAGAATATACTGATTATGCCATATTTGCTAAAAACCAGTTCAGGCTTTACAGTAGCAATTAAACACTCTGCTCTGGTGACTTTTCAGCAGTACAGAAAACCTTTGTGCCATAAGAAGTAAATCAATGCAAGGAAGTGCACTTACTATGATCTTTGTATAGTACATACAGAGTTCAATATTGGTGTTAAACTATGCATATCAAGCTAAAGTAACTGAAAATATTTTCTACATTTTTGTTGATATGGAATGTGTGCTCTGCCTGCAGTTTGAAAGGTGGTTACATTAATGGATTAAAATCACATTTTGTGTCTCTGCACATGGACTGTAATCACTGTTTCATACTGTATGATTATTACTTTGTATTTCACACTTTTGGGTTCTTTTTAATCTCTGGGAAAATCCCTTGTTAGATGACCAAGGTCAGATGTTGGCTTTCAAACTTTTTTCAGTTTGGAAGAAATTTTCTATAGATTGAGACCTTATTTAACTAAGCCTGTTAAGACTCCTTGCTCTTAGAATGCAAAAACACCCAAAGCTTCACTTATCTGTGGGCTGCTATTAAAGACAGCAGTCTGATTCTTTGATCCCCATCCTTCCCCTTCACTAAAATGTTCCATGATTTAATCAGTAAATGTCTCCATCTTATATTTAAGCCACATTGTAAAAGAAAGACTAGAATCCCTGTTATTTCTTACTACAAATACTACAGAAACAGGTATTAAAACTAGAACTTCAGGTACAGGATTCAAAATAAATTCTGTAAGTAACTCCAGGTTTCAAGTCATGACATTAAGTGTAATATTTGAGCAAATACAGTATCGAAAATATTACTTTAATGGTGTAGAAAATACTAAGTTCCTTTAAGAAACAATGACATTCAGGAGCATGACAGATACTTCTGAAATGCAGACTGATCTATGAAGTGAATGTAATAGCCCAAACCATTGTATTTGATCAATGTGAGGTTAAGTATAAATGGGACACACTTTCACTGATCCTGGTTTCACAATTGTGTCAAGCCAACTTAAGTACAGGCCAGCTGAAAAGTCACCTTTTCATCCTTCTGTCAGTGACAGTTAACAAAATGGAGACTGGAAAATTGGGGGATGAAAAGTGTAGCTTAAAGCCATCATAACACCCCAGAGGCAGCCTTGATCCTTTGAGTATGGGAGAGTGTTTGCACCACAGCCACAAAGGCTTCCCAGAGGAGCCTGTAAGCTCCCTGTGCTGGTGTGGAGCCCAGTGCAGGCACACAGGGTAAGTACCAAGTAACCCTTTGCTGAACTCACGGCTGTCCAGGCTGGCTCAGCTGGAAATGAACTCAGCCACGGCTCCGCTGTTGAGCAGTCACTGCCATTAATGCACTGTAGACTTACCTCTGGGGTACTGCAAGATCATGTTTAACAGTGAAGGGAGTGTATATAACACTTCACAGGACATGGAATATGAAAACAAAGCTTCTTTCCTGGTTAACTCTTTCTTGCCCTTATCTTCCTATAAAAAAAAAAATCTTTCTTCAACAAAGCAACAGAACAAGAATTTTCAACTTTCAAGTGCCCCTTTACTCTAGCTGTTTTCTTGGTGTAATCTACTATGAAGTGCATTTCCCTGTTACTTGATGAATAAAATCGCACTTAATTCTTCAGAAACCCAGCCTTTCCCAGCCATGAGTGGATCCTGAATTCTCCACCATGTAAACTATAGCATTTCACAGGATCCTGAGAGATGCTACACTGGGAAACAAAGTGGTATTAAGAGACAACGCTTCAAAGTGAGAAAATATGATTTGGTTGGTTTGGGGTTTTTTAAAGTGAAATAAAATGGATTTACTCATTTGCTTTGCTGTCCAAAATTTCTATTTTGCCCTTTTCTCCCTTTTGTTTAGGAAACTTAATGTTGTCCACTGTCACTTCATCAGTTACAGAGTCATCTTCATCAGATTCTGAGTCATCTTCTGAAGTCAGCAACTCTTCATCTGTATCAGAATCACTCAGTTCAACTACAGCCACATTCTGAAAAAAAAAAAAGATCTTGGTTAACACATACTACATACATACAAATATATATATATACACACACACACTACATCACTTCTATCACTTGAGTAAAACAAGGGGAACACATTAAACAACCTGCTACCATAAGGAAATCACAACCACAATAAAAAAGACTTGAGTTTTCCAGGGATTTTACAAATATCATTAAGAGATTCATAAATATTATGGGCCTATAGGAAATCTAAGGCCACATTTATACCACTATCAAAGAAAGAATTGAGTTAATAGCTGAACTCAGATTGTCTAAATCAGGTATGTAAACTGACAAGCAGCAGGCATCAAAACTACTGCTGTTTCAGTAAAAAACTCAAATTATGTCATTTAGTGTATAAGGGCTCATGACAAAAATACTATCACATGTAGATATATATATTAATATAGTTTATATCTTATAATGTAGTAGTATTCAGGGCACTACAACTACGCTAAAATAACAAGCAGTTTAAACCAACAGAATATTTTTTGAAGAGATCTCATATATCCATATACAGAGCTACAATTTTTGAGGTCTGCTTAGCCAAAAGGCATTTGGCTGGGTTATGCACATATATCAGCTTCAAAATAAAGTTTTCTTATATAAGTGTGTGGCTGCAGCACTTCAGTTAAAACCAGAAATAAAATATTTATGTGACTGTAAATAAACAGACAAATACCAGCAACAAAGGATCACAACAACACTAACAACTTTTCTAAACCCAAGATCTAGTCATTCCTAAAAACAGCAACAGAGCAGAGCTGAAAGCCTTCTGCTATGCCTTACTAGACTTTATATTGTCCAGTTTCTAAACATAATCACCTAGATGACACTTAAAATACAATTTGTGACTTTTGATTCAGAGTTGTAGATTCAAAAGCATGTCTTATTGCGTTCTTGAACTGCTTTATCCCCTGTGATTGAATTCTGCAAGTATGATGGTGAAGACTTCACAGAAAATGGTAAAGACTTCACTTTATCTATCATATTACTCATTCTAAGATCAGAATTATTTTAATCCCATCTAGACTGATGCTAAAATAAAAAAAATGTATTTACCATTTCTATAACTTTTTCTGTTTCACTGTCTAGATGTTCAATATCAAACTGATGAGCAGGTGCTGTTACCATTTTTCTTTTGAGCTCATCATTTGCCTGGGCCATCTGTGGTAAAAAGCTCTGTACTCGGTCCAAAACTGAAAAGAAATAATTATCACATATATATATATATATACATAAAGTCAAAGAGATGCTCATTAGTGTTCACATTTATACCTCAGATATGAGCCTTTACAACAGATTCCATTTCATCTGTAATTTCCAGCTGTCTACAATAATTAAGTATAGACTGAAGGGAACATCGAAAAATTAGCTGTAGCAGATGCCATGATGGACTAATGAAAGGTCAACATTATTAACAAAAGAAACTCTGAAATTAAGATGGTGGAAGAGAGACAGAAGCTCCAGATTGAAGTATAAAGCACTTATCCTCTACAGCTCAGTGGGACTTCAGAAGAATTTTAATGTAATCAATGGAATTAGGAGAATCACACTCATAACCCTTCCATGAAGGAAGACAATATTTTCACCTCCAGAATTTCTTCAAATAAACTGCTCCACACATGCAGATGAGCCAAAGACTAGTTTTCTTTCTTTAAGAAGAGGTACTGTTTCAGGTGAGCTCCACAAAAATCTAACAGGTATAATCAATCTTTGAAACACTGTCATCTTTGTAGAGACTTTTATCCAACAAAGAATTCAATGTAACAATCTTTTTAAATTTCAGCTCAATCACAAAACATAAAATAATTTGACAGAAGTCCTTTTTAAATTAAATGCTTTTATACAACAAATATATCAAACTGAGAAATTACTTCTAAAAAAGAGATAAGAAGGCCAAGCAACAGCTCTATACTGGGAAAGAACAATCTGTCCCTAAACGCCTAGCATTGCAAAATCTAATTTTGCAGCAGCAGCAGTTACGTGACTCACCAGTTGGACATGGAACTGTCATGGGAGGAGGACCTACCACCTCTAGAAACTGAACACAAAAGCTTCTCCCTTTTCAAGGAAAGCACCAAAGCAAAAGTTGTGTCACAAATGTTGCCTACTACCAGACACGGTGCCAGGGACAAGCTCCTCCGTACTCACCATTGCTCCTTGGCACCTTAACCGTCTGTAAAGTTGTGGCCTTCTTGCTGCTACGTTTTGAATTAATCAGCAAAATGTCTCCCAGCCCTGCAAACAAACAAACAAACAAACGAGTATTGAAGTGCTTAAGCTGACAAGTTCTCTGTGACTGCCAACTGCTTTTGCTGCTCTTGGAAGAAATACTGGGCTATACAGGCCAGGGGCCTCAGCCTGCAGGTCACCTCTCACACACTCCTTGGGTTTAAGCTAAAGTTCCTTAAGCTGTTTTTGAGACAAAGTTTGATGAAAGAGTTACAGCGCACAGAAACACAAGCTGTCATTGCCCTCTGCAAGGCGCGGTGAGGAGGCAGCCGAGGCGCGCCCCTCGCACTGATTTCAATGGCGGTGCCAGCCACCTCCGCTAACTGGGCAGCAGCAGCGCCACAAAACCCAAACGGATGCCAGGGAATTCGGCATTAGTTATCCTCATTATCTTTATGACCACCAACAGAGCCATCCGCCCGGTATCATTAACTAAAGCGCAACGTTCTGTCTTTTTAACTTTTTTTCTTTGTTCTCATAAAAATATCGTTACGAATTCCCATAGTTTGACGTGCATTTCCCGCTTATTTGCTCCGTATTATCCCTTCCCGGGAGGGCAACTCTTCAATACCCGCGGGATGCAATCACCCGTGGGTCACCGGAGGCCGACGATCCCCTCCCTCGGACCACCTGGCCAAGCCGAGCACCCACCGGCTGCAGGCCGGTGCCGGACTGGCCGGCCCGCTCGGCGGCGGCGCGCTCCCTGCCGGGCGGGAGGAGCAGCGGCGCTGCCGCACGTGCGCGACGGCGGGGACAGCGCGCGGCGGGGAGATGGCGGTGACGCGGCCCGAGGCTCCTGAGACACAGCGGGGGCCCTGGCGTGCGTTTGGAAGGGCACTGCCTGCAGGTGGAGGGTGGTGGTCCTGCTCCTCCGCTCAGCCCTGGTGAGGAACATCTGGAGGGCTGTGTCCAGGTGTGCGCTCCTCAGGACAAGAGGGACATGGAGCTCCTGGAGCGGGGCCTTGCAACAACGGTGATTAAGGAACGGAAGCATCTCTTTAAGAGGAAGGGCTGAGGCAGCTGGAGGCCTGTTTAGCCTTGAGAAGAGATGACTGAGAGGAGATTTCTTCAGTGGCAAGAGTGACAAAAGGATGGAACCAGGCTCTTCTTGGTGGTGCCAAGCAACAGGACAGGAGGCAAGAGGCAGAAACTGATGCACAGGAAGCTCCACCTGAACATGAGGAACACCTTCTTTACTGTGCAGGTAACCACACACTGGAACAGGTTGCCCAGACATGTTGTGGAGTCTCCCATACTGGAGATATTCCAGAACTGTTTGGACACAGTTCTGTGCAAACCCTGCTTAAGCAGGGAGGTTGAACCAGATGATCCACTATGGTCCCTTCCAACCTGATTGATTCTGTGATTTGGCACAAAAAGTCCATCCCATCACCATGAAGAGCCTGTGGAACCAACCTGCCAGCTGGTAACATCACCAGCCTGCCAGTCTATCAAAACTTTCCCATTTTCATTTTCAGAATTTGATAAATGAACCTAAAATTAAATATCAGAGCCTGAGGGAGTTTTAGTCATTCTTTGGAAAAGAAACTTACACAACCACCAAGTTCGGCTGACACTGATACTAACTAGCCTGCTATTCAGGATTTCTTCTGCAATCTCTGTCCTTATCTGTTCTGCAGTTTGTGTCCTTTCACATCTAGACAATGTGAAAACTGCAAAAAGAAAACTGAATGGTTCATAAGAAGCAAGATAGGAAGTCCAAGATGAAAATGAGAATAAATAGTAATCAGGTAAGTGGTGTTTAGGGCCCTCATTGCAAAGGACACAGAAAAATGACAAAGGAAAAAACCCAACCACACAACCACCGAGATGCCAGTATCTTGGAATTAACATGAATAGGAAGCAAACCTCTGCAAGGCCTCAAGCAAGAGACCACCCTGCTCTTTTCCTGACACTATCCAAATGAGTGTCCTCTGCCACTTCCCCAGCCCACCCACAGTGCCAGGTGCATTCCACTGAATTTTCTACCTGCACCTTTTCTCCCCAGATGCACTCCAGAATTTCCATTTCTCAGAAAAATCCCATTGCTAGGTTTAATGACTGAAAAATCTTGAGGGGTGAGGTTTTTGCCTTGGGCCTCAAAAGTGAGTCTTTCTGAATTTGTACACAACCCAAAATAATAGTGTGTGAACCTCAAACAATATACTTCATCCATGGGTATAATGTGATTTCCATGGAGGGTGGGGCATAATGCTGTCAAGGAACCTGTAGTAGTGAGTGATTAAATGATTGCCCAAGATAACCAGACAAGCAATTAGAAAAGCCAGAAAAAGCACCCTCAGGTGCTATTCCCAAACCTCAGGTTTACAGTCTCACCTGTTGGCAACAACAGCAGATGTGATCTTTATCTGATTTGTAGGGTAGCCCAGCTAAGTATCCAAGCTGTGTAACACCTGAGCTCACACAGGCCATGGGTATATAGGGTTGCTACTAGGGTAGGGAAGCTACAGTATCTGCAGCCCAAATCCCCAATAAATACAGGCTTGAGACAGCTGAATTATTAGCTCGGAAGTTGGGGCTGCTTCATTCATTTAAGTTGGTATTGACATGAATGTTCAAGCTCATCCTGTATGTTTCACTCTTGTAGCGCAGAATGTTTTGGCCCCAGTCCTGCAAATACATTTCCCCACTGCAGCTAGCTCCAGTTTATGGCAAACACTTGGTGACTTGCCTGTGCTGTCCTTTTTTTCTCTCTGTGGACAGCAAAAGGGATGCTGTGGGTTTGGGTGCTGTCACCATCATTAAATCTTCTCTTTTCATCTCCCTTCTTCCCTTTCACCTTCCACTTAAGGCATCCTCACCACTTCAAACAATTGAGCAACAATTGAGGAATAATACTAGTACTGATAATAAATGCACAAATTTAGCTGGCTTGACTGTTCCAATGTATTAATGTGAAGTGTTAATATTAAGTGTTTTTCAAAACAGGAGTCCAGCAAGGCCTTGGCTCCGTACTTAGTTAAACAGAGGCAGCTGATGTCAAGGGAGGAACTTGCAGACTTACGTGCTGTTTGCAGGGTGCACAGTCCAGTTGGGCAAGAACAAGGATATTCCAACTGACCCAAACACTTTACAAAATTGGATTCCTGAGGAAGCTGCTTTTTGCCAACTGGCAGGAAAGAGCGACAACGTCCTGGCAGCTGACAGTCAGGAGTCAGTACAAAACGGCGACTCCTGTGCTACGGCCAAGAAGCTTCTGTGACTGGAAGCAAGGGCACCGGCACGGCCGGCGCTGCCCGGGGAGCGCCCTGGCCCCGCTCCCCAGCGCTTTTGTTTCCCGGCTGCGGGGCACCAGCCGGGACCCTGGGCGGCAGCGAGGCGGGGGCGCAGCTTCGCCCCCGCTACGGCCGAGGGGCCGGCAATGCGAAGGGGCCGCGGGCGGGTCTCGCAGCGCGGCCAGCGGCTGTCGGGCAGTGGGGGTTCGCCCCGGGGGCCAGGCTGGGAGAGACCACGGGCACAGCGTCCCGTCCCGTCCCACGGGCGGCGCGGGGCGGCGGACTCGGCTCCTCCCTGCCCCGCCCAGCGGGGCTCGGAGCGGCCGGTGGCGGCGGCGGCTCTGCGCATCACGGGCCACATCATCGCGGGGGCCGCCCGCTTCCGCGCCTGCTCAGTGGCGGCGGCGCTCACCTAGCGCGGAGCTGTCACCGCCGCCGGCTGCTCCCGCCCCGCCGCGGCGATGGAGCGCGACCCCGCCGCGCTGCCGGCGCCGCTCTCGCCCAGGTGAGGGGAGGGGGCGGCGCGGGGGGCGAGGGCAGCGGGGCCGGGCGGGCCGGGGACCTGCCGCCCCGGGCCGGGGAAGGCGGCGGGGGCCACGGGGGAGAAAGTTTCCTGGCCAGTGGCGGAGCCCCCCGAGCGCCACGCTGGCACGCCCCGATGCCGGGGTGCCCAGGGCGCCCGGGACTGGGGGGCACTCGGTGCCGCTCGCCTCCCGCCCCGGCCGGGGTTCCCGGGTGCCGCGGGGCTCGCCCTCGCCGTGCTGCGGGCCCGGCG